CATAACAATGATACATCAAACAATAATAAACTCTTCCTAATAACAATAATAAAGATAAAGAACCTGTCATACAACACTCTACACAAGAGTGAAGACTGGTTAAACAAACTATAGGTTTAAATTACAAAGACAATATAAACCTAGCTATGTATTTAACAGAATTTAACAAATTCCTTAACAAAGTCTATAACAATCCATTAACATATTACAATACTATAACATGTATAGACAAAGAACAGTGGATCAAAGCTATGAAGGATGAAATACAGTCACTTCAACAATGAAACATATGAATATATACTATCCCCCCTATGAATACAAATATAATTAGAATGAAATTTGTCTATAAAATCAAAAGACTGGCTAACAGCTGAATAGACAAATACAAAGCACAATTTGTAGTGTAAGGATATGCTCAAAAGAATGGAATAGACTTCTATTCTGATGACTTATTTGCTCTAGTAACAAAACTATCAACAGTACAATTATTGTTATCTTGGGCAGCATTTAAGAACTACAAAATACATTAGATAGATGTAAAATCTACATATCTTTACAGGGAACTAAATGAGGACAAACTCATTTATGTGAAACTGCTGCTAGGCAGACTACTTACAGATATTAAACTTAGACAGGTGTTACACTTAAATAAAGTATTATATGGATTGAAACAAGCAGGTAGACAATGGTACAAGAAGATTACCAAACTACTGCTTAAGATCAGATTAGAACAAGCTAATTACAATCATACTGTATTTTACAAGAAACAAAATAATAAAACAATTCTTGTAACATTTATGCATGTTGACAATATTACAATTATTAGCAAAACTATCACTATAATAACAGCATTTAAACATACATTAAGACAACACATTGTATTTACTAATAGTAACAAAATACATTAGTTACTTAGTATTGAAATAAGCTGAGATAGACCTCAACAAATGATTAGCTTACAGTAAAAGTATTATATTGAAAGTATAATCAAGTGTTACCACTTCAAAAACGAAAAGGCACTATGAATGCCTACTACTCCTGGAATAGATCTATCTAACAATACAAACAATACATACAATACAAACGAAAGTAATAATGAAACAATACTATACATGAATATGGTAGAATTGTTAAGATATGTTGTAGACTGTACACAACCAGACATATCTTATATTACTAGGCAATTAGCACACTACTTACAAAAGCCCCAAACACATCACTACAAAGTAGTGAAACATTGCTTTACATATTTAAAATATACAACAAATTGCTAGCTTCAACTTGGAAGTATGAACACTTTAAAACTATAAGGCTATTGTAATACAGACAGACAAATGACAGAAGGACATAAAGCAATAAATGGCTACATCTTTCAATTAGCTAAATCAACCATATCCTAGTCAAGCAAATAGCAAAACCTGGTACTACTATCTGTTTACAAAGCAGAGTTGCAAGCACTAGCATATACTACTCAAGAAGCTATTTGGCTCAAACAATTTGCTGAAGAAGTACTACAGACTGAATTAGCACCTATTACGATTTATTACAATAATCAAGGTGTAATAAAGACTGTAAAGTCTGACAAAATAACATACAATGCTCACACTAAACATCTTGATTTACAAAAAGACTTTGTGCAATGTTATATTCAAAACGATTACATCAATGTATGCTATGTTCAATCACAGAACCAATTAGCAGACATCCTTACAAAGGCTCTCCATGTCCTACAGATCAAGCATCTAAACAAACTATTAGGCATACAGTCCTAGTTCTTAATTAATGCTTGAAGGGGAGTATTAGATTGTACTCTGGATTAGGAAATCCCCAATTGCCTTATGTAGAGTTACTACACTTAGAATGTCTCAGACTATTGGACTTCACTATGTAGTATATAAGGCAGACACTTGCTTGATGTCTCAATAAGAGAGAGTACTTGGGGCACTCCTGCTACACTTGTTAAAATACCCACTCTAGCTTCCTTTGTCAGTATAGCATCCATTCAGCTTGCGTGTACATCCGTGTGATGCATGTAAAATTGCGAATGCAAAACAAAACAAAATATAAAATATAAAATATAATGGAGGTTTCCCAAGTGAAGCATACATATAAGATTGTAATGATTGTAATGATTATCTCTATTTACGAAAAATCTTCTTCAGAAATCCGGAGCCACCCGCATCCTTTTTGTCCTCATCAGTGAAGGATAGCTTAACCCACCATCTACGAAGACATTCAATGTCAACAGTCGACCCGTTCCAGGTCTGTCTGCCAGCTATAAATTAGACCCCCCAAAAAATCCGACACAGGTCAAAAGAATGCGAAAGAGGATGAAGGTAGAGCTTACTATAGTTTGCCTTTCTAAAATCTCCGATGAAACAAACACGCTTTCCATCGATTTCAGAAAGCGTCACAAGGCGTGTCTCCATTATCTTTGAAAGCGAAACGAGACTATTTGCCGCAGTTATGGTCACCGGACCTACAAAATCCGAAGGAAGTGAAACGAAAGCGGACCCATTGCCCGCGCTTACAGTCAACGCAAATGGTCGTGAAGTGACAGAGGTCTATTGATAAACGCACTGATCAGAGTATGGTCGGGAGGAATGAAGCAGACATGTACCAACCAGCTTTGCCGTGACATGTCCGCTTTCAGTCCTCATTTCAACCTCGGTCCTTCCTCCGAGTGCGTCACTAGATTCACCACTCACGAGCCATACATCAGCTGAGATACTCCCGTGCGAGGTCTCTAGGTAAAGATTCTTCCGCGGAACTGGTATCGATTCCGCAGCGGCACCAGTTGCTGATGTGCCTTCGCCAGTCAACACCTCAATGGGAATTTGCAACGCAGCATCAATCACATATGTTCCTTTGATATATGCGTTTTTGCGCTTTATTGTAACGAGATTTGATGTGGGTATGTTTGGTAGCTTCGGATGAGATGAGTGATTAATTCTGTCGCATCTTGACGAGTTAGACGCTGAGGACGATGATCGAGTACGCGGAAGTTGAGGTGCAGAAGTCGCAGTATCGTATGATGGAGGTCCCTCAGTAGACTCCTTTGCAGGCTAGTCAACATACTGAGACGTCAAGCTAATGCATCATAAACTGAAGAGGGATAAACGCACCAATATCGGAGGCTCTTCTGCCTCTCCTTTATTATCCATAACGACCATGGCAAACGTGTGGGTGCACTCCTATGCACGAATGAAGCCTATTTCAAAGATGGCTCAACGGTCTTAGCCGCTCTCACGAACGTTCGAGTCCAAGAAGCATACCGCATGGTGCATCAGCTGCGCAAGTAGGCCAGAACTGCGCGGCACATGTACTAAATCTCTAAATCTCCACCTAAGTATACAGTGGAAATACGCGGCTATATGCGCCCCGGAAGCTCGCCGTTCGGCGATCAGGCCAACAGCTGCGCTCGCTGGTTGCCGTGTTCTTATTAACAACCTTGGAGTAAACAAAGCCAAGCAAAATTTCGCAGGTCATCACCACAGCGTGATCACTCTAGCATTAGTATACAAACAAGAACAACAGGTGAACTAAGTAATACTGAGGGTCTCATTACTGGGAAGCTTGGCTATCGCAGTGCAATTAGACCACTTGCATAATTCCCTACGATAAATTAAGTCAAGACGGCCCCGAAGATTAGAATAAGAAACTCACAAGACTGGATTACCAGCCTCCAAAATTCACGGTTTGGAATCTGGGCCCACTCGTGTAATTTGTGTCACCGTCGTTGATAAAAGACATCTTTACACTACCGTTCTGGCTCCGCACGTTAATGACTGAACCAAGCCAGTGTTGTGAACTGCCTACAAGACGATTGAGGACAAGACATCAGTTTAGCCGAGCCAAACTCTACGAGAGCCAGCCCACCGTAACCTGCTTTTCTAATGTCTCCGGCAAAATATGTTCTGGTCTTATTCTCCTCGGAAAGCATCATCAATCGCGATTCCATCGCTCGAGAGATCGATACAGTTCCATTGGCAGTGCCAAGGATCACAAGGCCGACAAAATCTGGCGGAATCGCAACGAAAATAGATCCGTTCCTTGTGCTTGCGTTTAAAGTAACAGGCCGAGTGGTTGCCAAGTCCTGGACATTGACGGGCCGAGAAATGCATGTCATTAAAATCATAGAAGAGCTAGAGCAAGAAAACTCACAAGTTTCACATGGAGAGATCCGTTCAGCACGTTCAAATCAAGCTCTGCCTTTGTCAGTTCCCGCGCAGCACTCCCAGCACCAACACCACCATTATTCTCTATCACATCATCGACAAGCCATACATCTGCCCAAATGCTCCCATTTGTACCCTCAATCTCCATATTCTTCCGTGAGCCACTGTATTGTGAATTGCTGATGTTTGGCAGTCCTGGATCAATGACATACGCTGCCTTGAGAGATTCGTTTCCGCATTTTATCTTTAAGAAGTTGGATGAGGGAACGTTTAGTGGTCTTGGACGAGCTGGATTTCGGTGCAAAGTAGGAGATGCTGATGTTGGAAACGGCGGAACAATAAATTCATATGGAGGAGGTTCATCAGTATGTGAGTGGGTTTCTGAGGCCTACCATATCATCAGCGCAATGCAAAGGGAGAACATAGTCGAAGGCATACGTACCAGATCTCCCTCAGTCGGCGCTTTCTCATCTGTGCCTCTGATTTGCATGTCTGAAAGGAAGGCTGAAATGCGCGGGGAAGAATACAGTCGCCTTGGTCCTTAATAATAAGGGGTCATAAGCTCAAAAACCAAGTAAGGGATATGCCGGATCGGTACTGCGCACGACTGTGCACGATGAGTTCATTGCGTTTATGGTATTTGAATAGGCATTTAAGTCTATTCCTGACCTGAGTATGTAATGAATTAAGCCTTTGATGATGCAAGCATGATGAGTGATGATTTATGGCAGTCGCAATAATTGAAGTCCTCACTGCAGTCTGTCTTAGTGTTGGTACATGTCTCACGTGATACTCACTGCCGCTCTCTGCATTCATTGAAATGAATAAAATGATCATGACTAGCTCAAAGTCAACGGGAGATTCCAAAACAATACAAGCGTTACACCAGATTAGTGGTCATGCAGAGCAGAGTCGAGGCAATACATATGTACATCAATGTAGGAATAACAAAAGAAATGGTCAACCGCCAAACATCCAACGGAAGAATCCTCCTCCATTTGAGCATTTCGCAACCTCTTCGCTAATGAAAGATAGCTTTACCTTGCTATTGATACTTCCGACGTCAACAATTGATCCGGTCCAGGTTTCCCTTCCGGCTATAGGTAAGAAACACATAGTGTTCCACACGTGAAATTTAACAAGCCGGACACAAGAGGAAAGGACACGTTATAGTCAATAAGAGGCATAAGACAGGCAACCACACTCTACTTACTGTACCCAGCTTTCCGGATATCGCCAATGAAACAAATCCTAATGCCGTTCGCCTCAGAATACGTTACCAAGCGTTCTTTCATAGCGTTCGACAGTGAAACCCAGCTTCCGACTGCAGAGATCGTCACAGGTCCGATAAAGTTGGTCGGAATAGCAACAGAAGCGGATCCATTCTTTGCATGGGCGTGTAAGGCAAAGGGATGATTCGTCACTGATTCCTATCGATACATTCAAGTCAGGCCAAATTGTATATCAAGATAATAGGATAATACCTACCAGCCGGAGAGTAACAGACCCATTCTTCGATTTCACGTCAAGCTCAGCCCTCTTCCTTTCTGTTCCATCGACATCATCATGCGTCTCGGTACCAACGAGCCACACATCGGCAGTCACGCTGCTATTCTTGCACTCGATCTCCAGATTCTTCCTCGGACCGTGCATTTCATCCTCTATGTCCTCTTTATCAGACGACGACGAGTCTTTATCAGCCGAAGCTGACGCTGACAAGAGCTCCTCTGGGACGTGTAAGTCGGGATCGATAACATACGAGCCCTTGATGGATTGGTTCTTGCGTTTTATCCGCAAAAAGTTCGTTACGGTCATGTTGGGCGGCACAGGACGAGCTATCGTGCTCATTCCTACACTCGAGCCCGAGGGAGAATCGTACGGTGGTGGTCCATCAGCAGGTATTGTACCCTATTGATAATGTTAAGTAGGAAACCGCACAAGTTTGAGCATACAATTCATTGGGAATATTGATTGACGATGTTTGACTTCGTACTTACCAGTGCAATTTCCCCTGCCTTTGCATGCTTATCGTCCGGTAGCAGCATAATGGATGCAGAGCAAGATAGACAGAGTTGTGAGATACTTCCCCTAGAATTTGATGCACTTATAGCAAGCCCGGTGGAGAATGTCCGATCACCTGCGGATGCTGTGCCAACTGCGCCCAAGGGAATTGATGCTGTGCCGCCTATACATTTTTTGCATTAATTCTGACTGCGGTCAGTCTATGGCGTATGGTAACTGAAAGCAGTGCACATAATTTCAATTCCGTCCTAACAAGGTGATGCTCACGTGCCCGATCATCCTTGTTTGCCGGGGTTTGTTTGCTGCGAAACAACAATCCATATTTTCCTTTGGTATTTCTCTTTCTGACATTCTTGGAGAAATCTACTTTACATCCTTTCCCTAATTGACACGAGCGTGTTTTATTCAAGTCACCGACTCCGTCAACTCAATCTTGACACTCTCTTTCTCCCCACCTTCCTTCTTCTCCTCACTATCCCCAACATCCTTAGCTTCATCAAACTGACCCATATCCGCCCGCCTTCCAGCAGAGTCCAGGTCTCTAATGGTCCTAATAGGTCCCTTAAACCAATACACTCCGCCGTACTTTGGGAAATAATAATACATTATCGAGAAGAACATGACACCGCCGAGAACGACGACAGAGTAATTCATGTCTCCTGCATTTACGGGTGCTGGGTTTGTGGGAAAGAGGAGGACAAGGGACGTGAATGCCATCCAGAGAACAGCGATTATCGCACAGGGTAAGCTCTGCGTATGCTTTCATTAGAGCATGTCATGTTTGGGCGGATGGACGACTCGCAGGAAAGGCAAAGAAAAAGACGTACGAAGAAACTAAGATTGAATGGCCCAGGCTTAAAATTATTCTCAAACATAAAGCGGGCCGCGATCGGTATCGAGTAAGCCACGTATGATGCAGTCACTGCGACGGAGAACACTGCATTAATAGCCTGATCGCCTGCAAATACGAGAAGGCCCAACAGCGTTGCAAGTATAGCACTGAACCAAACAGTATTTACAGGTGTTTGCGTATGGCTGTTCATCCGGTACAGAATACGTGAGAGTGGCAGAGCCCCGTCTCGAGAAAAGGCGAAGACTTGGCGGCTGGACGCCAGAAGCATGCTATGCGAATGCAACTGTCAGGATTCAACGCCGAAAGGAACGGATATAGAAGGAATAGACAAGGCTTACGATGTACCCATAAAAAATTGCACGATTACAACGAAAGCCCACAATGCCAAAGTTCCGCGCTGTCCAAAGCTATTGAAGAATATTGTTGCCATTGGCTGGCCAATTTTGTTATTCATTATCGAGTCCAGATCAGTGCCCATGCAGAACGCGAGTGCGACATTGATGGCCCAACCAAGTACACCTGCCACGAAGATGGCACTAACTATCGCCCAGGGTACTGCGATCGCGGCGTTCGAGGCTTCCTCACTGATGTGCACAGATGAATCAAAAGCACCTAAACAATGACCATGATTACGCGGCAAAGAACTTAAAGACGCAAGGAAAATCAAACATACCAATCGTCCATAAAGGTGCAAGGAAGCTGAGACAGAACGTGAATCCAGCTGGCCAAGTTGTTGCTAGAGCAGACTCAATAGTTAGCACACCTACTTACAGATACAACGAAGTAAACTTACCATTCGTGAGGTTTGCAAGTGCGTACTTCGCATCATTCATTAGCTCCTTTGGAGTAGCTGCAGGAAGCGCAATAATGACAGCCAGGCATAATCTTTCGACCCGAGAAGATTAGAATCAGTCCTATTTAGCACATGATCCTTAATTAAGAACTCACAAAATGTTGAGAATGACATATACAGTCTGCAGTCGTGCAAGGACATTTGTTGCAAGGCAGCAAATGACCGCACAAATAAACATAATCAGGCAGTATACGCCGCTAGAAAATGACACGCCCAATAGCAGTAAGATAAATGCTTCTTGAAGTTCTAAAACAGAAATAGCGTACAATGTTTCAACGTCTGTTGCTACGAATTTTTGGTTTGTTCCAATACTTGCAGCAGCCATTACTTGGACGGCACAGCCCCAGTTAATCGAAGCCACACCGGAAACGGTATTAATAGTATTGGCATCTGCACTGCTATTAGTAAACAATGGTCTATATTTCGTATGTTCGCCGAAGAAGAGGCTCACATCCAACGATCCATGCGAGGAAGTTACGCCAACGCGGTGAGGCTAACGAATGCGTCCAGAAATATAGCTTTGTGGATAATCGATCGGTACATCAATCGCCTTTCCACACGGATACAGGAACTTACTCCACCAGAGGTTGGTGCAGCTGATCCGAGTTCGGCCATAGACATTCCAACAAAAAGGATAAAAACACTTGCGACTGCCCACTTCAGTTGTACACCCAAGGTCAGCATGAAGTCATAAAGTTTACGTATGAGGTATTAGTGGAACGTACACCCCAAACCATTGCAGAAGGTCCACCATTAGGGATCGCATAGAACAGGACGGAGCTGAAATCACGATCAGTCGTTACACTTTGGCAATAATAATGATAAGACAGTTTCACTCACGCAATGGAAGGTAATAGACCGATAATACTGAATGCAACACCAAAAACCTGAGTTTATTTCAGCCCGACATGCAGACGGGACAATGAACAAAATCACAAGGCACCTCTATTGGTGTGAATGCTCTCAAAAATTCCTGCTTGTATCCGAGATCAGCGAGTAGTTGCTCATCCGCGTCGGCAATTTGATCCTTCACGTTGGACGAGTTTGCGTTTGAGTCCGACATGGTTGACGGATTTTATCCTATCCAAGCCAAGCCCTCCACAGGGAGAAAGAGGTAGAAGAAAGAAGAAGCGTTAGACAACAACCCAGCATTCTCTTCTCCAGATAACATTGCACACGGGAGACCAACAAGTCATATCATTCGCCCCAGAGCCGGCCCGCTTGGAAGGGCCGAATGAAATTGAATGAAGTCAAGGATAGGAGCAAATGTAACAGTCAATAATATACCCGGTTATTGAACTTCTTGGTAGCTTTTGAAAAGCCATGTGTAATGGCACCAGAAGAAGAAGCGATAAAGTGTTGGTCACGCAACAATGTCGGAAGACGAGTATCAATTTTTTTGATACGGGTATAAACAACGCGCGTCGCGTTCTGTGAGCTGTCCGTTTGTCAGCAGTAAGCAACAAGGAATCCCTGTGTCCATCTTTGTACCAGGTTTGACTGTAGTCAGTCGATGGCATGCAATACCTGAAGCAGTGCAATCAACTCAATCTATTCTGGCAAGGTGATACTCAAGTGCCTCCGCCGTTCTTATTTGCCACTAAGTATTGTTTTGTTTATGTGTCTCTCATGTACTTATGTAAATACTTTAAAATGGTCTAAAACAGAACTTATTCTTCTGTATTTCTTTTTCCCATCATTCCCGAAGGTTTCTACCCTGCACTTTACGCATCTCCGCTCGAAATTTCCCTAATGAATCTGAGCGCGTATTGTTCAAGTCGCCGATTCAGTCGACTCAACATCGACACTCTCCTTCTCCCCGCGCTCCTTCTTTTCTCCACGGTTCCTAACCTCTTTGGTGTCATTGAGCTCGCCTGCATCTCTCTGCCTTCCAGAATGATCCAGATCTCCAATGGTCCTCACAGGTCCCTTAAACCAGTATACCCCACCGTATTTCGGAAAATAATAGTACATTATCGAGAAGAGCATGATACCGCCGAAAACAACGACAGAGTAATTCATGTCTCCTGCATTTGCAGGTGCTGGGTTTGTGGGAAAGAGGAGGACAAGGGACGTGAATGCCATCCAGAGGACAGCGATTATTGCACAAGGTAAGCTCTGCGTATACTTTCGTTAGAGCATGTCACGTTCGAGCGGATGGATGGCGAACGAGAAAGGCAAAGAAACAGACGTACGAAGAAACCGAGATTGAATGGCCCAGGCTTAAAATTATTCTCGAAGACAAAGCGAGTGACTATTGGTATCGAAAAAGCCAGATATGATGCAGTTACCGAGATTGAGAAGACTGCATTTATCGCCTGAGCGCCTGCAAACACGAGAAGGCCCAACAGTGTTGCAAGTATAGCACTGAACCAAACAGTGTTTACAGGTGTCCGGGTATAACTGTTCATCCGGTATAGAATTCTCGAGAAGGGTAGAGCACCATCTCGAGAGAATGCAAAGACTTGACGGCTGGACGCAAGAAGCATGCTATACGAAATTGACTGTCGGCATCCAATCTCGAAATAATGGACATTGAAACGATAGGAAGTCTTACGATGTGCCCATAAAGAATTGAACAATCACAACAAAGGCCCACAATGCCAGCGTTCCTCGCTGTCCAAAGCTATTAAAAAATATTGTCGCCATTGGCTGACCAATTTCGTTATTCATGATCGCGTCCAGATCTGTGCCCATGCAGAACGCGAGCGCGATGTTGATGGCCCAACCAAGCACACCCGCCACGAAGATAGAGCCGACAATTGCCCACGGTACAGCAATTGCGGCGTTTGAGGCTTCTTCGCTGATGTGCACAGCTGAATCGAAAGACACTGTCGAGTAGAGAATGTCATAATAGTATTGATCGGAGAAAGAGAAAGAGACAATACAAATAGTCCATAGAGGTGCAAGAAAGCTGAGGCAGAAGGCGAAACCGGCTGGCCAAGTCGTTGCTAGTGCCAGAATCAACGGTCGATTCACATATTAGCAAAGAAAGGCGTACTATTCGTGAAGTCTGTGAGTGCAAACTTCGCATCATTCATTAGATCGTCCGGAGTAGCTGCAGGAAGCGCAATAATAACAGCAAGA